TTGTCCTAAACCATCCAAACCTCGCGTCAAAGCTTTGTTATACTTTAGTTTGGCCAAGTTGGAGTCAGGTAACTTGTCCCAAACAGGGTCGGTGATCCCTGGCACCTCTGTCCTCCCGTCGCCGCATTGATTGGGTCCCAACTCACGGCATTTCGTGTGAAAAACGCGGAACGTGCAGGTCACGCGCTACAGTGTTCTAGAGCCAGAGCGGGCCGCCAAAAGCCTACGACGAAAGCGCTGCAACTATGGGAACGAGCCTTTCAAAGATGCGGAACTGTGCAAATACTAACTGTTACATGCGTCACCTCTTGCCACAGTTTAAGGTGAGGCTTTTTGCACTTCACTCAATGTGGTTCCAGCGGGAACAAACGCATGTTGACAACGCACGCGACCGCCGACGCAGCCGAAGCAATCATGCTGAATGATCCAGAAAACTGTCCAAAGGTTGGGCCTTCCTGGCCTTAGCCTTACGGATCCACATCTGCGGACATCTGATCATGCCTTTTTGTGCACCAGCCTCGGTTGCTCTCGGTTTCTGCTCCACTGCTGCCATGGTAAAAAGTCTGCCTGCGCCCCCTGGCTTTCTGATCTAACTGAAAAATATGGCATCCAATCTGGATGGCTCATAAGTCGATATACCCAATTTGTTCAATACATGTCAAGGATGTCAAAGCAAGCCAAAAGTAGGTCAGTGCAAACTTGTCAGAAATACATACGTTCGCGTATGCTCAAGGTTCACTAACTACTGTGATGCAGCCATCAGCTGTTCGGGACAAGAACCTCTAAGCTCTCTATGCCATTTCATCGCAATCGGAGCAAAGAAGCCCCCCGCTCATCACAAACCTATGCGAGCACAATTGCCGGACATGCAGGGCAAGGCCGCCTCAATCTCCACAGTTTTCAACTATATTATATAACCAAGTAATTGAATTGATCATTTCCCATGCAGAACATATATATATATAAATGTATAAATGTATTGTATATACTATCAGTTTCGCAACACGGTGGGGGGGCCTCGATTCCTGCCAGTGCAAGGGAAATATGGCAGCAAAACCTGAGATCATTCCAGTATGCCAGTATAGTTTGACATATCTGGCGGCTGCAATCCGGGAATGAAACTGATCTAGGATGATTGACATTTGTGTTTGGCTTCGTCACACCATTCCCAAACTTTGCAGGGGACGGATTCTAGCAGGAGCCACCCAGAGTTGAGCTACCGGAGTTGCTGCCCAGCTCCGGCCTTCAGCGAACTCAGGGCCTGCTAACTTGGTCCTCGCCACCGTCAAACAATTCCTGAACACGAGAGATGGATGCGTTGCAGATCGACTGATGCCCAACCTTAGCTGCTAAAGCTAGCCCCACCCGTGGGGGCCTTCGTCTATGAACATTCATTGGACGCGGGTTGGCTTTCTAAGGTCAGGCATATTGCCAAGGGCCACACACAACGAGACGGTGGTGGCAGGCAGGAAGCTTCCAAGGAGTAATCGGTCTAAAAAACAGAACAGCATTGAAACGGGTCTTCCGGACAGTCTCCGACCCTAAGAAGCCTCTGACTGACACCAGTGCGGTGGACTCGCTGCTTGGCCTGACTCGCCCTACTTCCAACCAAAACTTTGTTAAGCACTGCGGCGATCTCCCGGAGAGCCATGAAGGCCTTGTTTTCGTCAAATAGTCTGTGATGAAACATGTTCTGATACATACCCAATCAAATCCTCAAACAAACAACTTTGTGTAAGAGCCCTTTGATGGATATTCATTAAGAAACATGTTGCTTCGTTTTGTCGGTAATTAAGCCAGTTGTACTCAGATCGGCTGGCTCTGAAGTGGGATGTCCCAACCGCTGTGCAAGAGATACAGCAGGAGGGCTGCGGTCAAAACAAGCGTTCTTTGCTGCAGCCTGATTGGACTCGCAAACAAACCATGTTCCGATAGTGGTTGCGTCGCAAACAAGCGGTCTTCAAATGCAGCCCTCTGCCAAAACCACCGAGGCACGGGCAAATGCTAATGGATTCGTTTTGATATCATGTTGTGCTTTGAAGTGATTGATTCAATGTCTTGATTTGAGCACACACATGCATCTCAAAGACATGTCGTGAGATGTATGTGTTGTGCATGTTCAAGCGTACTTCCATTCAATCACAAACTATGTACATATATAATTATATATATAAGTGCGGTGTCTTTGCATAAATACTGCAAGAGCCATGCCATAATCCATTTGCATAGGCATTAGGCACACTTCTTCGACCCTTCTGGAACAAATTTGAGCTCCGAAAGGTCTCTTACTGAGGTGTGCCAGTATGGTACCCGTGGCACCTGGGATTGGCCATGTGACCTGAGATTTATGCAAAACCCCTACGAAAATCAACATGATGCGGGAACATTCCGGGAACGTGGTCTTAGCAGACGTGAGAAGTGGGGCGCTCCCTTGAATGGATGAGACTGTGCCAAATAAACCACAATAAGGCTGTTCGCAACTATAAGTAAGGGGTTCATACGGTGAAAAGAGGCTGTGATCTCAATGAGTCAACTCCTCGTGGCAAACTGAAGAGTCAAGAGATCATGGCAGGCGCAATGAATCGTGAATTTCGGAGTTGTGGCTGTCTCGGGCGAAAGCTGGCTTTGGGTTGCAAAACGGCATGGCAGGCGCAGCACTTGGTGAACCTGCGAACGCTGGTTTTGCGGCAGGTGCCTTTTTTTTGTATAGAAAGTTCTCTCAGACTTACAGTGTATATGACTGCTCTTCCGGGCTTGGCGGTCTCGCCGTCTCGCAAGAACACCCTCAGTATGGTCAAGCTATGGTCAAGCTACTGGTTCATATGTGTGCTCTCATGTGTGCACTCTCCTCTCATGTGTGTGGGATATATGGCTCCGGGTCAAAACCGGGGACCATTGACCGGAGGAAATGAACAGAATAGACTACGAGGCAGGTCAAGGGTTTAGGGTTCCTGGTTGTGACCCGCAACAACATATAGTTTGCTTAATTATCTCCAGCATGCGAAGGTTCCTAGATAGACAGGTTCAACAGGGAAATCCTGAGTTCACATTGTCTGACTCCCTCAGTTTCTTCTGAAACATGTTGACGACAAAAAACAACCAAAGCCACATAGTTTTGCAAAATGGTCTTGTAATGCGTTATCTGTTTGAACACCTTGGAAATTGAGTTTTACTCTCTGAGGGGAGGAAACGTCCCCCCACACCACACACACAAACTTCAGCCGGAGCACGCCCCACCAACGCAAACCCCTCACCTGCCCTCTCCAATCTATTGGCTGCTGGCACGTAATCGTGTTTTAAAAAATGAACAAACGACAATATATAAATGGTTTAGCCTTGTCCGGGCAAAAGGGGTGGCTTGCACTGGTCAAAATCTCACGTGATCACTCGCTGCCGCTGTACCTCCGATGCCGCTCAGCAAAGTAAACCAGTGTTTCTTTGCCGTGTTTTTCTGTGGGCCCAGCCGGTAGTTGAATGAGTGTTTACAATCCTTGTGTTCAAGGAGGCTGAACTTGTTCAAAAACAAACCCTTCAAACAACATTAGGACAAGGAATGCGGCACATTGGAGATTGTTGCCCTAATGGCGCACTGCTGCTGCAGCATTTCAATGGCGTACTGGATGTGTGGCAGCGTGCGACAAGGGCAAAGGTTGACCAAGCGGAGAAAACCTCAGCAACATTTTATTGTTTTTCGCTGTTGATGCACTTTGAAATGTATAGTGAAATGCACCAAACTCCGAGGTGCCACTTATGTTCCGATTCCAGCTAATACATGCTAATACAATGTTCCAACGATGTACGACTAAAAAATTGTTGCGGTTGCGCATGCCCCTATAGCACCCTCAAAGCACACAAGTGAAAAACCGTTCTGATGCGCCATTCCAAGCGGCACATCTGGCTCAACGTGTGATTCAATTTCGCCAACCTGTCACAGGCATTGGACGGTGTTCCCACTAAACATGCAACCTCGCAAGGGTTTGGTGTTGATTGACTTTCAAAGCGCCGTGTGCTTCGGATCAACAAATGATAGTCGCCGTTGCTGGTTCAACCACCCTGCCAACAAATTAGAGCTTGGAAAAAATGTGCATGCAATTCTTCGCCGATCTTCATGCACAGCCACCACTGGGACGGCACCCCAGAAAACAACAACCACAAGACCAACATCAACAACAATAATCATGTTACGGTAGTCAAGTCAACATGGACTCCGAGGAAAAACAAATACCAGCACGTTGAAGCAACACAACCCAAAACACCAAAATAACACAAACAAACAACCAGACAAAAGGAACCAAAGAGGCCACATACTCCAATGGTCATGAACAGGAGCACATAGGAGCACTAAACTAACCCAACGCCACATAATGCGCATGGTCCGTGCGTGGCCTTGCGTGAGCCATGAGGCAACGAAAACCCGAAAGGCGGGCCGATCCTTCGATGCTCCGAAGGCCGCCGAATGCATGGCATACTTGGCATCAATTGTTCACGTTCAAATCCACAGGATTACAGTACATAATTCCACACCCCCTTTCGAAACAACTAAGGACGTAAAATCATTGAGGTGGGAGCCAGCAGCGGTTGAGGATGCGGTCCTTGGTCATCCAACCATCAATCACTGCCCCTTGGAGAGGGGGGACCTACAAATATCCAACCTGCAACACAGAAACTGGAAGCGAAACGAAGCAACATATGCCCCGCATTGCGTAGTACCGAAAACTGGGCCAATGAGAAGTCGAGAAATCATAGTTTTCTTGTTTCATCGGTTGGTGGTGGGGGGGGGTCTCGGCTCGACAACAAAAAACAGCTGTAACGGGTCTGAAGCTCGACTGGAAAGGCCAGTCTCCATCAAGAACATCAGCAGATGATGCCTGAGACCTGAGACTCGTCCTTTCGCAGGCGCTTCTTCATGTCCAATATAGCTCAGCTAGCAGTTTCGGCCAAGAAAAGGCTCCCTCAAGCCCTTCAAGCTAAGGAAGGAGCTGCGCAAGGCTAACCAAAAGATGTGGTTCACGATGCACAAAGGCAACTTCTGCATATTTCCTAAATACAAATTGTTCTGCGGTTCTGCCTGTGACAAACAAGAAACATAACCACAAAACCCATGGAAGACGGACAAGGCAAACCCTCGATCCATCCACGTTCCAAACTCACAGTCCACGCTTTTTCACTCCATCAGGACTTCCTGTCCGAGCCCAAGACATGACAGTGTATGGCTGCATGCTTCGGAGGCCTTACGTTTTAGGATGACAGCCGTTGTAGATATTCCTCGGACCGAAAGAGATCCCCGCAAGAAAGAAATCATTGCAAGAACAAAAGGTCGAGCCAAGCGTGTTTGATCAGGTCCTTCTCAAGGGAGCGCGAAATGTGTCTTGCCTTGTACCAAGATTGGTCAACAACACTGAGCCCTCCGGCAATCCGGACCAAAGGACAAAAACGATTGTTCAAGGTCATAGACTTACAAAGAAACTGCATCACACATCTTCCAGGGACACGTGGTCTTCCCGCAACTGCGGATATACCGGCCATCGCGCGATGATCCTTTCCAGGCGCCACCATGACAGATCCTAGATGCACTGATCCAGTTCTGTTGTAGGTGTAAGTTGTCAATGTACCCGGCTACTCTACAGCAGCAATGGTAGGCCCTCCAAAAATCACAGGAAATGAATCAGCGATGACGTCAGCTGATGACTCGGGCAGGGCATGTTTGGCATCTTGTTCGCGAAGCCAACGGCCATACATTGCGCCATATCCGCTATCACAAAATAATCATAAGCCCCCAAATTTAGTAGTCAGATTGAGCTCTCACTATAGTCAGATATTCTGCCCTTTTGATATCCTATCTGATCAAACAGCCTTGGAAAGTCTCAACGTGTCTCATCAGAAATTGTGGGAAGATGTGGGAAAGAGTTTTGCGCGTCAGAAATCAAAGCACTCTTGCGCCAGCCATGATGCAAAGCACGTGTTTCCAGCAACAGACGGAACTCTCTAAAAGAGCTTGGTAGCACTTCCTCACACCTTGATTGTGCTTGGATGGTTTGATCACTTTAACACTTGGAGTGTACAAACTCAGCAACACTTCTTGCTGTCCTTCGCAGCTAGGCAATACGAAGCGACTGACGTGGCAAGATTTTGCAACATGTTGCCAAGAGTTGCTCAAAATTCTGTTCGCAAACACATGCGGCCAGGTGGCAGCACTGCTCAATCATTCTACTGAGTATCGCAGTCTTTGCAGCCTGTTCCAGAAACTTTTGCGCTCTCCAGCTTTGCTTGTTCAGGCTTGCTTTGCCACAAGGCTGCTTTGGCAATGGCCTCCAGACTTGTGTGACCCTTGCATTGGTGTGGTGAGAGCATTATTCAACGCCGAAGAGTGAAAATGGGGCCGGAAGACACATCTGGCAACATTAAACTGCACACTTTTGCTATTGAATGTGCGACCCATCAACAATCTCCTGGAGTGCATCAAACAGCGTGGCAAGACACCCATGGGCCATCAAAAGAAAGGCTTCAACGCCGTTGCGTTTGCCAAGATGGGAGGACTCACTGTATGCAAGCCAACTGGCTTTGGTGTTTGGTGTGTAACGAGATACATCTGTCTCAACATGTTGAGTCAGCAAGCGCCAGGGGCTTCTGGTCATCCCTCAGCATGGACGAATCAATTGGACTACCGGAATTCATGGGGAAGCGCGTGTCACTTGCAAAGGCAGCTGGGACGCGACCAAGCCGTGCTGACAATTTCCCTGTGACACCGTGAATGTCACATAGGCTGAAATCTTTTCAGTACAAGCACGCCAATTCTGGGAATCAACTGCCGGCAATCGTTGAAAGGCATCCAACACAGGCTTCTCAGAAGCATCTCCAGTTCCAGCGTGGATGAAGATTAAGCCCCAACTAAACGATATATCTGGAAGCCGTACCAGTCGGCTGAGTTGGTGCTTGATTGGTGGTAGGCCGGACCATTGTTCCAAATGGCGACAGTCCGTTGGCCTGACCTCGGAAGCTTGGCAGCATGAAATAAACTTGGGCCTGCATTTCCACCCCTCGGTCATTGAGCTTGAGAATTCTGAAGCATAGCTTGTTGCATCCGAAAGGCGCCATGGGCATTCTGAAAGGCATGTTGCTGACTTGCAACATTGGCTGCAAGAGATGCAGTTGAGCTCCCATCGCCTGAAGTCCTTTAGTCAACTCAGCGATCTGACCTTCCGACCTAAGTGACGCAAAATAAAGTGTACAGCTCGGGTCCGCGGGCACATTGAGTGGACGCGATTGAGGCCACGACTTTGGCCTCAAGGAGACGGATCAGGACCTCCTCCTGAACAATTCTTTTGGGCTCGGTCCTATACTGTAGGCCAACCCTAAGGAGCACCATGAGCTCCGCCATCATGCAAAGCATACAACACCAAAACAAAGGGATTCCAAGGGGCCCACAATGATATGAACGGGGTTGAACAGGGAAACTAAACAAATCCACCGCCATCTAACTGTGCCCTGGGACCTTTTCCCTTCCACATGATGTGCATGGTCCGCGCATGGCCTTGAGCCCTGAGGCAACGACAACTCGAAACGTGCACGGTACCGTACATCAGCAGAAAACATTGTTCACGTTCAGATGGGCCTGCCAAACTCAGGTAGTGAATTATCTCGACATGGAACCTGATAAACAGGATTACATAATTACATAGAAACTAGAAGTTGGAAGGTCCAGGGTCCAGGACCTACCAACTCCCCAAAGTCAAAGAAAGCTGATCCGTCAAATTGACTCGTTGCTTCTTCCCAATTCTCGCCCTTGTGTTTTCAGGTGGAAAAATTGTGCGGTCAAAGAAAAGCTGGTCGGTCTCCCTCGAATTTGTGACGAAATCGCCCGTCCCTGCTCTTTCAAGGAACTTCCAGACAGGAATCCACTTGTTCGTCTCGCTTGGCATCGAGGCCAGGTACTGCTCCATCAGCCCAAGCACCTACCCGTTTTGCGACTGAGCGCAAAGCCGCCACCCCTTTCAAAGAAAAACGCTGTCTTTGCTAATTAGTGTTAATTGTTGCAGGCTGTCAAGTGATGCTTGGACACCCAAAGTGTCCTGCACCATTGGGCTTCCAACATACCGAAATCGCACGGATACGTACTTGTTTGAGGCTGTTCGCAACGATTGCAGGCCATTGGGTGTTGAACTCCGCGTCTTCTCTGCCTTTTGCTATAGTGCCATTGATTTCCACACATCAAGCCATTGTATATAACATCGTGTCAAGGATGCCTGGGGCAAGCCCTGGAAGTTGGTCTGAGCAGAATACTTTACATTGAATCATGCACCAAGCATCCATGGGGTTATTTGTTCTTTTTGATGACTCTTTTTCCAGCACTCAGGTGTTTGGATAGGTTGCAAGCACACTTTAGACATCTTTAGACCATCTAGAATCTACAATGCATGTTTGAGCCATGTACAATTGGCCGTGGGTCAAAACCCGGCACCCTGGTTGACCTTTACAAGGGATGTCAATGATGTCAACCTCCTTTTTGACTCACAGCCAACTCACTAAATGCATTTGCAATCATTTGCAAACCACCGCGGATTTAGCGCTCCATTTTGGCGCTCAAAACGGGAGGCCAGGAAGAACAAAAAGAACACATCTTCTCCCCGCAACTCACCCAGTTCAGGACCATGAGCGCCCCCCCGACCAAAAAGCTGATCTTACAAGGATCTTTATTCGCCCACCCATGGTCAGGATGGGTTTCCGCTCTTTCAGATTCTGCTTCCAATCGCTCGTTGGCTGGTCCCCATATAAAAAGCAAACGGTCTGAAGAAACAACTACATTATGTTCCTTCCCCATCCCCTCTTGTACTTCTTTGGGCCCTGGGTGGCTGCATTGTAGACCCCAAATCGTGGAGTCTAACTGCCTGTTACCTAGGGATTGGGCTGAAACGCGTTTAGGGGTCTCATGATTTCAGACCCTAAGTAGTTGAAGGAATTTCAAGGGTTCAGTGAGGTTGTGTGTAATTTTCTCGAATTTTTCAAATTGCTACAGGGTTCAAGTTTTGTACCAAAATGGCTTTGCGTTGAGGTCTTGCCAATTGCGCTGGCCGATCTTATTTTCGGTACGGACTCCATTTTAAACATGATTTTTCACCGCCACTGTTTACGTCTCCTGGAGTGCAAGGATTAATCTAGCTTAGACTTCAACACTTGATTCAACAATTCAGTTCAGGACACCAACAAAAACATGTGATTTCTATCTTTTGTGATATGCATCTCTGTTCTTATTCTAATCAGTGTTGATTTCTTGACACAAAAAACGCTCAAATTTTCCCAGCCGTAAATGTTCAAGCTCAACTACACAGGGTCTACTTTACTCACCTGTAAAGGGTCTACAATGTCACTGGACCCATTCTAGACCGTCTCAGACCCTCCAGGGTCATTCTAGACCCTAGTAGTTGAGGGTATCCGCTGCGACCCCCGAACCTACCAACCAACGAAACTCCCAAATGAGTGAAGTGTGAACATTAATGTTTTTGCGGGCAATGAAGTGAGATGATACGCCCGCGTAGGTTCAATTGCACTCTTGCAACTTGCAATCTTGAGAGTCTCTCAGACGTATGTGTCACATAAAGCCTGCTGCTGGAGAGTCAGGCTCAGGGGTGTCATACTTCCGGTCACCATAGAACAAGTTTTGTCAACCACCTTGAAAAACGTTTGGTTCGGAGCGGTGAAACAATAATTCAATATCTTATATCTTAATGCATATTGAAATTCAAGAATTGTAGTTCTCCTGGCCTCTTCTGGAGCATTGGGATCATCCATCTTCGTCTCAGCCAGCTGTGCTCTTGCAAAACACATGACACGTGTGGCCGTGAATTGTGCCATCCGCAACACGTGGCATCCAAGCATTAAAGCACGTCCCTTTGGCAAAGATGTGTGTTTAAACTCGCTACTGTAAACGAATCATAGCTACTAGTAGCAAATGGCGCTACTAGGTAGAGGCCATCGCTATTAGGTTGGAGGCCGTCGCTACTAGCAACAGGAAGCTACTACTTCTTGGATTAGAATATCTTGGAATCGTCCAATCCCCTTGCGACACAAAGATTTCGGCACAGGTGTGCAAAAGAGTTGTCTGAGTTTCACTCATCTACAATTCTTGGGCTAAGAAGCTGCACGTTTTCGAAGGTGAGGCAGTACCAATCCCAGCACATTTGCCCTGAGCGCCGAGAATTTGAATGGTGGCTCTCTAGCTCCGTAGGTCAGTCATCACAACACTGGTTCTTGTTCCTAGTAGTAAGCATGCTACTAGTAGTAATGCCCTTTGTTTCTAGTAGCGATGCCCTTGCTCCTAGTAGCTTCTTGATCATCACAAACCCTTGCAACTCAAAGTGGCGGCGAAAGAGCGTGGAGTGTTTCACGCTGATATTTGTCCAACTTCACCTTGGCTGCAGCAAATCTGAACTAGTTTGCCAGCAGTCTCTAGATACTAGGATGGATGACCCTATAATCCGTAGGGCACCGTTCCGAACTTCGGTGCTGCTCTAGTTGAACTGAAACAGCGATTTGGCTACTCAGAACTCTTGAACCCCTTCACCCCTTCCACGTTCGGCTACTTGAACGAATGTTTACTTGCAAGTGAGGAGTTATGTGGCACTGACAACTGACCCAGGTCTCATTCGGTCGGAAATGAACATACCCCCAAAAAAGAAACGTGCCATTGTCCCTCTCCTGAAGCATGTTCAAGTCACATACTCGGTGTGGTTGCAGTGGCAATATTCCTTTGCGAGTGGCTGCAAGGCTGGCAGTGTTGTTTTTTCCGTTGAATTGTTGGGTTATATAGACTCATATAGGTAGATCATATAGATCTTTTTGTTGAACAAGTCAGCTGCATGTCTTTGGACGAAAGCCATCCTTTCTGGTGGTCACTTCCTGGATTGCTACCGCTTGAAGAAGCAAGTCCCGTGGTTGCAGAATTGTTCCTAGTGGTGTGTTCCATATCCTAGAGCAAGAATGCAAATTGATTGAGCATTCAACACAATCAAACAAAGGTTGCTTGTGCCACCTTCTCATCACTACGTGTTGGCATGTTGTTTTGATCTTCTCTGGCCTCTTAATTGTGTAGTGCACACATGTAGCATACTTACGTGGTGCGCCTTGATTTGACAAATAACAACACACATACACACATTATGTGTATATATCCACCATTCGCCTCCTTGTGGCAAAGGCTCACAATTCGCACCTTTGTGACAAGCACCGTGCTTGAAGAGGATGCAAGGCCTTCGACACAATTCTGGATGACCAACACTGCCCGCAGAAGGGAAAGCTGAGTGCGGCATCTCGTTCTGCGTGGCACCGGTTTCCATAGCCGTTCCTTTGAACGAAGCACAGAATATCTCAAAAATTCTCAAAAAATATCAGGGAGGGAAAACATGATCAAGCTACATTCTCCAGGTCCAAACAAATGAACACGATTGAACAAAATTATGAGACCTTGCCTTCTGTGGAGTTGGGTGTAGGCGGAGGCTTCTCCGGAAGGAAGGACAAAGCATCCGCGTGGGATTCCAAGGAAGACACGTACATCTCGGTCCTAGCATCCGATCTTCGCTCGGGCAGCTTGGAAACAAACGAGAACTGGACACAAATAACATCATGAAACCGATGAAGCTGGGTTCGAGTCCTGGATAGCGAGGGCCTTGCCAGTACTGGCGGCAGGCTCTTGGTTCGCTTTTCAATCCTCTTCTCCTCCAGCGGACTCCGGCGGGCTGCAAAAAGAAAACCTGTTTACACGATGAATTGTCATAGACTTAAGCTCCCCTCAGCCTCCAGGGGCTCAAGATACAACTTGTACTGTACTCATAAATGGTCCACAACACATCACCCGGTGGGCCTTGGGCCTTGAGTGATATAGTGCATATCATTCAATCCTTCAAACTAAATTACTTTACTTCGAAATTCCCCACCCTCAAAGAATTGGTCTTCACAAGAGAAAAGCGGTTCGGCGCGAAAAGGATTCTTTATTGAAAACAAAACCACACATCGAATACTTACTTGTGAGGTTTCTGAACTTCGATTTTTTAATGCCTGGCAACCCCACATCCCTGCCAAGTCAACTTGTGGTGGATATGCTGTGGAACTGGTACTTGGGAGCACTCTGGTGAATGTGCTGGTGTAAAGGCTACGCGGGCTACTCGGGGCCACTCTGGTGGATGTGCTGTGTAAGGGCTACTCTGGGCCACTGTGGGCCACTCTGGTGGATGTGCTGTGTTCTTTGGGTTGCTCTGAGCTACGCTGGGACCACTCTGGTGGATGTGCAGAAGTAGCGAGTCTACTGAAGTCCAAAGTTCTTAAAATCTAACAGCCCCACAGTCCTACGGGTGAGAAAAAACTGCGTACAATACAAGTCTACAACTATCCTGCGATCTCTTTGGTAAATGTGCTGTGGAGAAGCTAGGTTGCGCTACTAAAAACTGTGGTTGCTGTGGACCAGCTAAGTTGAACTACTTAGAAATCAGTTTGTGAATGTGCTGTGGAAGAGCTAGGCAGCTAGGTTTAGCTACTCAGGGATCAGTTTGGTGAATGTGGTGTGAATACTCAGAGGTCATTTTGGTGAATGTGCTGTGGAAGTGCTACGTTGAATTACTCAGGGATTACTTTGGTGAACAGGGATCAGTTTGGCGAGCGTGCTGTGAAAGAGCCACTTTGGGCTACTCAGAGATCACCTTGGTGAACATGCTGTGGAAAAGCTAGCTTGAATACTCAGGGATCACTCTGGGGAACGTGCTGTGGAAGAGCTACTTTGGGCTACTCCGGGATCTCTTTGGTGAACATGCTGTGGAAGTGCTGCGTTGAACTACTCAGGGATCACTTTGGTGAGTGTGCTATGGAAGAACTGCTTTGGGCTACTCAGGGATTACTTTGGCGAGTGTGGTGTGGAAGGGCTAAGTTGGGCTAGTCAGGGATTCCTTTGGTGAACGTGCTGTGAAAAAGCTACTTTGGGCTTCTCAAGGATTACTTTGGTCAACGTGCTGTGGAAGATCTAAGTTGGGCTACTCAGGGATTACTTTGGCGAGTGTGGTGTGGAAGGGCTAAGCTACTCAGGGACCACTTTGGTGAGTGTGCTGTGGAAAAGCTAAGTTGGGCTACTCAGAGACCACTTCGTGAGTGTGCTATAGAAGAGCTAAGTTGGGCGACCGGGCGTACTGAAGTCCGAAGTTCTAAAAGCCTAACAACCGACAGGCCTACGGGTGAGAAAAACGCAGCTGTTGTTGGCTTGATAAGTACATTGCAACTCTACAACCACCTTGGAATCACTTTGGTAAATGTGCTGTGGAGAAGCTAAGTTGCGCTACTAAGAACTGTGGTTGCTGTGGAAGAGCTAAGATGACCTACTTAGAAATCAGTTTGTGAATTTGCTGTGGAAAAGCTAGGTTTAGCTACTCAGGGATCAGATTGGTGAATGTGGCGTCAATACTTAGAGGTCATTTTGGTGAATGTGCTGTGGAAGTGCTACGTTGAACTACTCAGGGATTACTTTGGTGAACAAGGATCACTTTGGCGAGCGTGCTGTGGAAGAGTTAAGTTGAACTAGTCAGAGATTACTTTTGTGAGTGTGCTGTCAAAGAGCTACGTTGAACTACTCAGGGATTACTTTGGTGAACAGGGACCACTTTGGTGAGTGTGCTGTGGAAGAGCTAAGTTGCGCTACTCAGGGATCACTTTGGCCAGTGTGCTGTGGAAGAGCTAAGTTGCGCTACTCAGGGGCCACTTTGGCCAGTGTGCTGTGGAAGAGCTAAGTTGGGCTACTCACACTTTGGCGAGTGTGCTGTGGAAGAGCTACGTTGGGCTACTCAAGGACCACTTTGGCCAGTGTGCTGTGGAAAAGCTAAGTTGCGCTAGTCAGGGACCTCTTTGGCCAGTGTGCTGTGGAAGAGCTAAGTTGCGCTACTTAGGGACCACTTTGGCCAGTGTGCTGTGGAAGAGCTAAGTTGCGCTAC